CCCCGGCACGAGACCTACATCTCTATGGAGGGCTACCAGTCGTGGACGCTGGCCAATGGCTGGAACGGGCAGGTCTACTGCGCCAAAGACCAGGCCCAGGGCTCCCACTTTTGGAAGTCCTCCTTCCCAGGTACGCGGATCGGCCAGGTGGCCGGCAGGTCCGGGCGAGAAGCCGGAGGTGGAGGGGATGGCGGGAGGAGGAGGAGGAGATGGAAGAGGGGGAGGAGGTCAACTGGACAGGAAACCGACACTGGGCGAAGGAGCTGCCCACCGAAGCCACAAGCAGGAGAGGGGAGGGGAAGGGAAAGGCTTCCAGCCGGTTAGAGCCATCCCCGGACCTTCCAGGGTCCAGAGAAGGGGCTGCCATGTTTTGCACGCTTTGCCACCGCTTACGACTTCCAAAGCCAGATCGTCCATACTGGAGGGAGACGGGGAGGGGAGGGGGAGAAACCCCATAGGAAAACAGGAGACTTATTTACACCTCCCGGCACTTGATCCCTTCTGTGGCCGGCACTGAATTGTCTCCCCCGGCTTTACTCGGCCCTACCTACTTGCAAGTCACTCTCTTTCAAATAAACGCGTTGACTTGCTAAGCTGCGGTCCCAAGACTTCTCAGTTAAGATCCAGCGAACTCAGTGGGGTTTACTCGCAAGCTAGCCCGGACTTCAACTGTCCTTAATAGAGAGGCTCCGTCGAAATGTGTGGGACTTTGTTCTAAAGAATGTATCGGTGTGGACTCGTCTCCCGCCCTTCCACGAGCAGCCCCGTCCTCCTCCCCACCCACCTAAAGCCCCCCCCCGCCTCAATTAGTCTGGCTTCTTAGAACATTAACACTTCGCCTTAAAGCTCAAATGCCCTTTTATTCCGGGCACCGACATTCCACCGAAGTAAACGCCACATCTTCCAGGGCAAATGTTAACGAGGCTCGTAGCTCTGGGGACTGTGCATGTTGAGTCCGAAGTAAATCCCTCGTTGTAATAAAGGCACTTACTCCCAAGAGGGCGAGGAAAATCTAGCCAGCCTTTGCGGCCTTCTTCCCTTTTCGCTCCGATTTCCTGGAAGTCATCGGCCAGACTTTTAAAAGTTTAGAAGAAAACAATTGAAACCGATCTTAAGGAGGACAGGCCTCTCGCAGGCTTGTTGTGACCGTTTTTTAAAAATATATTATTACGGTCCGCTGCCCCCCTCATTGCCTCGCGAAGGCCCCAATCCTCAACCTCACCCCCGGAGGATTTTGGTAGAGGTGACTCACAATACTCCAGGATCCCATGTGTTACCCACATTTTCTTCTGGCTGGGAAAAAAAGAGACGAGTTTCTTTTATTTATTTTTTAACAAGATGTAGACGGGGAGGGCCCGGATAGATGGATTAAATGCATAAATAAATACATCAGCGACCTTTTTCCCCCCGCTCCTGGCGGCAGGCGGGTCCCGCGTTGCTAAGGTCCAAAGGGCCCGCTCTCGGGGCCCAAGAGTGAAGGATACAAAGCCCCGGTAACCGAAAGCAAACCGGTCACCTCTCTCGCCTTCTTCTGCCTTAGGAGACGTTGCACTAAACCAGCCGGACATGTGCGTCTACCGGCGCGGCAGGAAGAAACGAGTGCCTTACACGAAGCTGCAGCTGAAAGAACTCGAGAGCGAGTACGCCGTCAATAAGTTCATCAACAAGGACAAGCGGCGGAGGATCTCGGCGGCCACGAACCTCTCGGAGAGGCAAGTCACCATTTGGTTTCAGAACCGCCGCGTCAAGGACAAGAAAATCGTCTCCAAGCTGAAGGAGAGCGTCTCGTGACCGGGACCGCCAGCATCGATCGCCTCCGGGGGGGCGGGGGGGCCTCCCGCTAGCAGCTCGGCCTCGGCGCGGCGGCGGACTTTTGCAAAGACTTGAAAAGATATTTAAGGTTTCTCTCGGCGCCCTTTTTTTTCTAGTCACGAGGGCGACGTTTTGTGAAGCGCTTTCTGGGCAAAGACTCGCCGTTTCTTCTTCGTGGATTTAATGGAATGCTGCAGGTTTTTTAAACTTTCTTCTTCTTTTTTTAAACTTCTCTTTCACTACATTTTGATAGGTTCTGTTCCCTTTCTCCAACCCCCCCCCCGCCCTCGAACAGGTCAGTGTACTGTGGAGCAGTTAAGGGTCAGGCACTTCTGCAAAGTATAAACTACAGCCAGGGACGTCTAGGTGCTAAAATCACACACACACACACACACACACACACACACACACACACAGAGACGTATATGTATGTGCATATGCATGCGTATATGTGTGTGCCTATACCTAGAGACAGAGGTATAATTTTAGAAGAGGTAGCTGTGTTAGTCTATTCAAGCACATCAGGAGAGACACTAAAACTTGTGGCACCTTGAAAACTAACCATTATATTTTATTGTGAGCTTTGGTGGGTAGGTCCACTTCCTCAAACATAAAGAAACAGAAGGAAATGGAGTGAAATGTAGATGAAATATCACCTACTATTTTTACAACACAACTAAAACAAATAAGCTCCATCATGGCATGTAACCCATGAACATTTAGAAAGTGAAACTGGTATTTCATCTACGTGCCATTCCATTCCATTCTGTCTCTTCATGTCTGACGAAGTGGAGGTGCCCACGAAAGCTTACATTAAAATACAATGGTTAGTCTTTAAGGTGCCTGATGTTTTTGTCTTTGTTTTGGGTTTGGGTTTTTTTTGGATTTTGTCAGGTGTAGGTATTTGAGTGTCTATGTACCTACATATTTACACTGTCAGCCTCCTTCAGTTTCTAGTTGTGGTGATGGTGTCATTGCCCAAGTACAGTAGATGAAGGCACAGATTCCCAGCTAACCTCTCATTTTAATGTGAAATACTTTGGAAAGGATTCCTTTTCTCTAGCAACCTGCTCTAAAACCAACTCAGCTGAGATTAATCCTGAGTTAATCACAGGCTTTGTGTCCTGAGGCTCTGCCCTTCCACCCTAAAACATAATTACGGAGAGGGAAGCTCTACTTAAACAAAGGTGACTTAATGTATTCTCAAAGGCTTTCACAGCCGGGATCAGGTGGTTGTTGTGGGTTTTTCGGGCTCTTCCGCCGTGTTCTGAAGGTTGTTCTTCCTGACGTCAAGAAGAACAACCTTCAGAACATGGCCGAAGAGCCCGAAAAACCACAACAACCCTCAAAGGTGACTTACTCTGAGGATTGGGATCCTTGTCACTCTACCCTTTTTATTTTACATTATTTTAAAAGTGCTGGGCCAGAGTGGCATTGAAATTAGGTGGCCCCCTTGCACCCCCACTTCCACCACTAGAAAACTGGTTCACACTCTCTCATTCTGTAGAGATTAAAGGCACCATCTAGGCCTCATGAACTACGGAGTCCAAACCCTAAACAGTTGGCTTATTTTCTGGAAGATGAATCCCATGCGGTTCCAGGTGGCTTTGTGACCAAGCAGGCATGTGCTGGGTTCTATATCAGAATCACTGGGATTTAAAAATGTTTCATGAATCGTGCCTCTGGTTTGGGAGGAGGGATGGGCAGAGAGACAGGTTGCCCACTTTTTGCTGAGCAACATATGCTCCACACTTTGGTGTATTGGTAAGCTTCCCCCTCATTATTATTATACTAAAATCTGGGACATTTCAGGCTAAAGTAGTCTGCAGTTTAGTAAGAAAAAACACATTGGTCTAATCAGCAACCTAGTATAATAATGAAGAACTAATGAACAAAGGAATATGCAGTGGTCTGGAATTCCAGGGCTTCTAGCCAATTATGCCTATAGGTTCACAGTTGTACAAAGGTGTGTATAAATTGATGTGTATTTTTGTATAAATATTGGATGTCTTGTTATTTGTTTGTCTTCTCGATGATTGCATGTGCCTTCCCAAAGCCGTCCTGGCATCGGGGGAATCTGCTATCAAAGCATGGAAAGTTGTTAATAGCTTTCATTACTAAATGAAACGGGTGTTAGTGAAAGAACCAATAAATGAAAAAATTAAAAAGAAAGAAAAAGAGAGAGGGAAAAAGAAGATAAAAGGAGTTCTGTGTTAACTAGGCTCAATAGTTTGGCATTTTATTCCCTGCTTCCTTTTCTCATTTTTTTTAGTGTATCCATTATTAATCAAGGAGTGAAAAAGCCATGTGCCATTGAAACGGATGGCAACTCATCTGTTCCAGGTGGGCAGCCCATTCAGCTTTTCTTTCTTTCTTTCTTTCTTTCTTTCTTTCTTTCTTTCTTTCTTTCTTTCTTTCTTTCTTTCTTTCTTTCTTTCTTTCTTTCTTTCTTTCTTTTTTGGAGTAGGTTTAAGACAGCCTCCTTTGGCACCTTAACAGAGAATGACTGCAATCTTATATCGGTTTAGCTGGAAGTAAGCCCTATAGTACAGTACACCATGGAATTTACTTATGGGTAAATGTGTTTGGGATTGTGCTATCAGGATGCAATCCGACACTCTTAGCTGGGAGCAGGGTCCATTTAATTCAATGGAAATTAGGTGTACCTCTAATCTAAGTTTAGTTTTCGTGTCTTAATTCATGAGTAAACATGCAATTGAATGCAAATGAAGTGGAAGTTTATTCAAACATTAATTTGGGGAGCTTGAATCACAAGTCAATGTATAATTTATTGGGCATAAACTGGGTTAGAGGCGTAAACAGATCCTGTCCTCAGATGCAAAATTTCTCTGGGGAACAGAATCTGGATTTTAACTAATTCTTTTAATCTATCTCCTCAATTCAGTACATCTGTAGGAAAGGCAATCTTATGGACAGTTACCTGTCAACAGAATATTTAGTCAAAATTATTGTGTTCTCTGTACTGTATGTGTTGTATTATGGGATTGCCCATGCAGCAAAAGAAAGCACATGTCTAATGGAAGTAGATGTAATTCATTTCCAATAGCTGGGAGGAAAGCACATATATATGAGCACAATTCTTTCCCTGTTTATTAGTGGAACAAATCCTATTGGGCCCAAATATAAGTGAGCAAGGTTTTGCTCTGCCACTGAAAACTATTGTTGTGTGTGTGTTTCCCTTAGCCCCATTCATTGCATTCATGGCATCCTACTCAGTGTCCCAATTCTTGATTAATTGTTCACCTTTTTTTAAAAAAAGCCTTTCCTCTTCCCTTGGGAAAAAGCCTTGATCTTACAAGCTGCTAATGATTTTTTTCATGATTACTTCTAAACAACTCCAAATGAAGTGTTTTAAATGACAAGAGCAGAAAATACAGGAGTGTGTATCACCAGCTTCAGTGAGAAAAAGCCGTGGTAAAAGCCAAATCTGGTTTAGAGCTTTGAGTGACCTTTTACAGTGTATCTTTCTATCTCGAATATAAATATTTTGTTGGTTATGAAGCAGAAAGCTGGTAGAGTCTAACATCCAATCTGAAGTTATTTTGATGGAGGGAAGTAAGTACGAAGGATTTTTCTTTTTCGTTTATCCTTACATTTATGTTGAAATTTTGATGGCCGAAATCATGTATATGATGCCCTTGAAATGCAAGTATTAAATCTGGGAGTCTTTGAGGATCCCATCAAGAGCTGTTGTGTGTATGTGTGATCCCTAAATGAAGTCTGATCTTCTGTCGCTGGATACTGTCTCTGCTCCCACATGGTACACGACCCTTCCCCCCATTCTCTCACTCCCATTCTCTCCCCCACCAATTGAAAGCCTCCTTTTGGATTGAAGGCAACACACATTCAGGAGAACGGCAGATCATAACCTACGCTGCTGTTATAAGAATAGAATATACAAGTTGTCTAAACTGAGTGTTTTTAGACCAAACGTTGACATCATTAGGACTTTAAAATTCTTACTGTGGCTGGATAGTGTCCCTATTAGACAAGGGAAGGTGCTGGGGGTAACTATTGGTCGTGCAAATAAATTATGAGAGAACTTTTTTTTCTTTTCACTTCTCTCTCCTTTAAACATATGAAGCTTTAAAAAAAAACACAACTTTCTGAGCCTCCAGCTTTTAACAAAATTTTTCATAGAATGTGGATCCGTGGGGAAACATTCAGATAAAGTTTCATTGCTACATTCTTCTCTGTTGATCTTTATTATTTTTAATTCAGAGTAGCTTGTTCTACCTTTTTTCTTCGAACCCCCCCACCTCCTTGTCACAGTCATAGGGAAATAAGCCCTCCCCCTCATCAGTGGATCTTAATTTTCAGGCTGCGGGGTACACTTTCTTTTCCTCACCTGGAAGGATTGGCATCTGACTTGGTAGGCGCTCTCCTAAATTGACAAGCACCCTTAAGAGGACGTGAGGAAAAGCAAACGAAAAGCCATTCTGCCAAAGGAGGGAGGGAGCGGCGGGGAATGGACTTCGAACCAGCTTTTGAAACAATTGCCTCCAACGGGATCTCGCGCCCTTGTCCGCTTTCTCATA